AATGTATACATATAACCTTGAGGGATATGAGGTCGAACATCCCGTAATATATATCCTAATGTATTTGTTGGTCCTTGTTTCTGAAAAAAAGAAAAATAAATAAATATGAGTATGTAAAAATGTAAATGTGTATTGACATTTATTGATAATTTGTAACTAAATATATACCTAATTTATAAATGTAAAATTTATATATGCATATTTTATTACAACATTATCAAATTCACCACCATGCTTTATTATTTTATGATAAAATAAATTAAATACTTTTACATAAAATAGATGGTTTAAAGTATGTAACATTAAACTAACACATTATTCAGTATTTAAATATTTAATATGACATGATACAACTGTTACAAAAAATAAAAAATAACTATTATGGAGGTAATGTACTTAATTTGACATTGATAAATAATGTTATGCATACAAATTACTTTAAATTAGTAAGCTACTGGTGTATAACAAATTACTTTGGATGTATACACTATAGCCACTGAGTTACTATAAACACAGCTTTTTTCTATATAGGTGGTCAACTGTTTTCCATTTTTTTAATTTAACTAGCATAGGACAACAGAAATCGTAGTAGACATCGAGTATGATAAAATTTAAAATCACCTTTAAAATTATTTAAAGGTTTTTTTATTGAGAATATTGTTATTTTAATAATTATTTCAAATTACAAATACAAATATATAAATTAATAACTATACATTTATCTAATAAAAAAAATATTATAATTATGCATGCATTATATAAAATTTAACTCACAGTATTGTATAACTCTTCAAGCCTAGAAATTGATAAAAATTTCTTCATACTAACACCATTTTCTAACAACAATTTTACAAAATCAATCCGATCATGTTCTAAAGCCTGCATCATAGATTCTTCTAAAGCTCCTACACAGAAATAAAATGCATATTTTCTATTTAATTCCAAATTAAATTAGATATTCAACATTTTAAGACTTACCTTCTGGCCATTCTTGTCCATAAACAAATATTTCAGATCTAGCTATGTCTACACGATTCCAAGTCAATGCTAAACTTAACTGTTCTGATGGAGATAAATGTTGACTTTTAAATAATGCAGTTAATATAGTTTGATCTAATTCCTGTGACTTTTCTTGTCCATCACTCATTCGGAAAATAGTGATCTATATTTCAAAGACCCAAAATAAGTTTTATAACTTTGAATAAAATACAATTTTTATAAGTACCATATTTTTATGCCTTGTACACTCGATGAGTTCTTCATATAAGCGTTCAGCTTTCTCTTGCCCGACTTCAAATGTAATTTGTATGGTATTTAATAGATATTCTTTCATATTTTCTAAAACAGTTTGTCCGCCACTGTCCACTGCATATCTGATTCAAAAGGTATAGGCCACCTTTTTCATTTTTATCTAATTACTAATACTTAAAAAGCAAATAGATAGATTTCAAGCTATGATAAGTTATTACCTGTGTGTGAAAGCTAATAGATCAGCCGCTCTGCCTGAACCATCACATATAACCACTGGTACTGGAGGAGTATCTGTAACATATTCTAACACTGCTCTAATTGTATGAGTACCTCCTTCAATCACTAGACAAACAACAGGAGTACTATAATGTGCACCTGTAAAAGTTAAAATAAAAATCCTAAAATATTGTTCAACTCAAAAGTTATTTATAAATTATAGAAGTACTTGGGTGAAGTTTTTGTATTGAAATATATTTTTCCAATTTTTTACGTAATTCAATTTCTGCACCATAACGTCCCGATGTGCCATCGTCCACCAAAAGGAAATATGTATGCCTATTATTCAACACAGCTAATTTAGATCTAGGAGATGATATAGAATGGTAGGGAACATCCTTATTATGACCAATAAGTTCATGGTTGTTTTCGATAATACCCCATGGCGCTATGCCTATAGACACAACTCTACCCGGGCGTTGTGAATCAAGCAAAAGTGCATCTCCCACTTGACGAGTAACACCTAAATATAAAATTATATTTATATAATATAGCACAGATGTAATTCATTAAAAATTAAATGCTTTAAAATTACCAGTGTTAGTTCCTCCAGTAAATACCCAAGCACCAGTTGTTTTAGCAGCTTTCAATAATCCTTTACGTAATACCTTCTTCAATTTGGGTTGTATTTCGAAATTGGCTTTTCCTCCTTGAATAGTTATTAATAATTTTGGTAGTTCTAAACCCCATTCTCGATTAAATAGGTGAAGTATTGTTTCTGGTCTAGTGTCATGTGACAATCTAACGTACTATAAAACAATTTCTTAACTCTCATTAGTATACCATCCATGTTTTATTTTACTGTTTAAGTTACCTGTGCTTTGGTAGGATGTGGGCCACCTTGAAACTCAATTGTTCCATAGGCATCTGTGGCTGAAACTACGGTATGTTTTAACGAAGACCATACTTCGTTAGGATTATCAGGGTCTAACTGTACAGAGCCACTTCCTCCACCACAGTGAAATGTTAATGATAACCCACAACTACATCTATAATGAATATTTTAACTTAAAATTATTAGAACCAATAAAAATAGATATTATCTAAGTCATTGATAAAAATATTACCTAGTCTTATCGGTACTGGATGGAATAAAAGTTACACAATCTCTTTTTTGAAATAATGCTTCAACCCAACTCCGAGCTTGCCTCTAAAAAATAAAAATTGTAATTAGGTAGGTACAAATGTAACTCAAGAACTTATTTATTTATAAAATAAATAAATTAGGTACCTAATAAATATGATTTATTATTAAATCATTTTAAAAAACAAAATAAAACTATTTTTGGACAATTAAATGTAACAATTTTAAAAATAAATAATTCAAATAATTGTTTGTTATAAGTTTTTCTGTAGATAAATATTTTTAATAGGTAAATAATTGGAAATCAATTATTATATGACTAATTTAAAATATATTTAATTTAAATTAAATGAAAATATAGATAATTAGTTGATAATTTCTTAGAAAATTAAATACTTATTAATTACAATTATGTAACTAAAATATATAATATTTTTTATTTAATATAAGACTAATAATAAAATACTTGAGTATAATATGCCTAAGAGATAAGATAAGTTGTAAATGCAAATAAATGTGATATAATATATTATGCAAAAATGCAAAATGTGTTATATATAATATGCTAGCTAAAAAACAAAAATGTGTGAATATTTTTTTTACAATAGTACTATTATAATTATTTAATAATTTGGATACAATACTTTATATTTATATTAAATAACAAACAATATACATACTTTCTTGGATTTGTTTATTTTTGAAATCATACTGACACTTAGTTGCTTTTTGTTTGTTAAGGTTATAACATGCAGAATTTAACGTTTCTACCATTGTCGGCCAATGAATCTGAAAAGGAAGAAGTTAAAATAAAATGTCATCATTTAAATTATTATAGTAAACTCGTGACATTGTATGACCAATAGTTAATTATTATATAATTTAAATATATTGAAGAATGAATACAATTTAACACAACATACCAAATTTAATCTGGTCCTCTGGATGGCTAAAACACTGAACACTATGAAACACAAATTATACAAATTAGTGGTTAATTACCATGCATTAAACAATAGTATTTAACAGTCTGGTGTTACAACAAATGTCGTGCCGACGTTGTCAGGTGAATTATTAAAAATAATCTTACATTCAATAGTGCAACACAATATTAAAACCAATAACCATCACTCACCTTTATATTTACATTTTGGAAGATTCGGAAATAATTGATTCGAAAATATTTAAGAAATTTAGATAAAACAATTTAAATTCTAAGCCTAATTTTTAACCCATTGTCACTACTATTTGATTTAGATTTGATCATTGAGCATACATAGCTGATGATAGTTAGGTAGATACTATATAGATAGACGACGACCGAAATTGGAACCTGTTCATTTAGTACAGTAATTTGCTTATAGATGGCGCTAATAAACATTTCAGAAGTATTTACTATTTACTTTTCACTTTTCAAACTCGAATATTTTAGCCATTACAAAAATACAAAATATTTATTTTGTCATGGCATTAGCATGCTTAAGAGGACGTCATACCACAGAATAGATGGACCTATATGGGCTATGACACATAACCGCAAACCATACGCACAAGTGCACAACATTGAACATATCATAAATTCATAACATATTTTACGTTCAGAATGATCAATTCTTATTAAGTAAATTAATTTATATTAATACTAAATTGTCCTAGGGATTTTTTCAATATTTTAATACTGAAGCAAGTTGGCCTATGAGCATTTAAACATTTGCCAACTACAACTTACAAGCGTGTCGTGGGAATGGATTAGTTATTATTTACAAATTACAAGCCTACCACTGCATTTTTGTGTACAATTGTTTAAATTTCATGATGATTTTCGTCACGGGCCAATATAATATAATACCATGAGTATACGGCTAAAAATTATAACACAGGTTTAAATCATAGACATATTATATTATACTATGGCGATGTTAAAACGGTTTTAAATCCAGGTAAATTAGATACTTTGTGTTCTCGTGGTTTTAAATTTTTTATAACAAGTACCAAGTACCAACAAATGATAACGTGTTATCGCAACAGGTTGTTGTGGTATTTGGTGGTGTGGTTGCGGCATAGATAATATTTATGTATTATCTATGGGTAGTGGTCTGATCACAGAATTCTCTGATAAACAGATAATATTCTGTATTTCTGTCAAGTGTCAGTCACCACTCACCTGTCCAGTGTAATGAACTCAGTTTAATGCGGAACTGTTGAATTAGTGAAGTCAAAAACTCAGAAGCGTCAAAATCTGATAGACTCCGTGACAGTTCAAATTCAGTTTAATTTTAATAATAATTACATAATATAAATTTAAATTCTTAAGTCCAAATTATTTGGTTATATTATATCTGATAAATTTTCCAACAGTAATATAATTTAGTCATTTAGGGTTTAAAAAATGTCAGCAGGAAAACGACTTAGTCCTAATGACCCAGGATCTTATTCTTTACCTGGTAAGTAATTTAAAAGATATCTATACTTACATACCTATATAATTTCTAAATTCACATGATTTTTTGTTATATTTAACTATATTATTAGGTATTTTATTAATTTAGTAAATTGCAATCTGTTCTAGAAATACATTTTTTTACTATGATCTATGACAAATTAATAATTAGGGATAGGATTTTTATGGGTTTACATAACATGTTTACAGGCATTTTCTTTTTGCAACTTCTGATTACTTGTATTGTTTATAATGTCTACAAACCACATCATGTTGAAGTAAACTCGTTATTTTATTTTGAATTTCTATATATTTTAATAAAATGCATAATATTACATACCTATTTCAACTAATAGACACTTAAAATGCATGGTATAGTTTAGCAGTGGTCGTTGGCAAGAAGAAAAAAAATATTATTTATTATTATCCATCCAAAAAATACCCTATATTATATTATTATTCAATTTATTTTATGGCATCTGGAGGATAGTAATATAATTTATATCTTATCTTAATTATTTTATCCTCCTACAACTGCAACAGAAGTTTAGATTAAATAATTGTTTTGTATCTTTAATTCAGATATAAATATAAATGTAAAGCAATCTGAAATAGAACCATCAAAATATTCATAGTTTTTATAACCATCTTTTCAAGCTAGATAATTACCTAATTATAAAATGTTTATTAATTGCTTTGTTTATACATCAGGCATTTAACATAATGATGTACCTATTATGTTTAAAAATAAAATAAAATTATAAAAATTATTTTCTAGAAAAAGTTGCTGTAACTCATATTGATATAGAACTTGCTGCTGATTTTAAAAATGAAAAACTTAAAGGATTTGTTGATTTGAGCATAATTAAAATTGATGAGAGCTGTGATCATATTGTATGGTAAAGACAATTAATTTACGATTTAAAAATAATTCACCAAAATGTTTAAATTCTAGATTTTGGACAATATTGATTTGAATGTGTCAAGTATTGAAAACAAAGATGATAAAACATTGTTAGATTACAGTATAGGTGATCGCTTAGAAGTGTTTGGTTCCAAACTAGAAATAAAAATACCATCTAAAAAAAAGTAAGAAATCAGTTATTTTACACTTAATTTTTAAATAATATTGTTTGCTTTTGGTTTTTGAATTTTTAACCTTAAGGAGTATCATACGAATTACTTATGAAACATCTAAAACTGCCTCAGCTTTACAGTGGCTTACACCTGAGCAAACTCTGGGCAAAGTCCATCCATATTTGTTTAGCCAATGTCAAGTATGTTAATTTCCTTATACTAATATAGTCTCATCTCAATTAAATGGTGTGTATTGTTTAGCCTGCTCATGCTCGTTCCATGCTACCCTGTCAAGATACTCCATCAACAAAATTTACATACTCGGCAAAAGTATGTCTTATCATTAAAAATTGTTTAGTTTATAAAAATATTTATTTTATTAAGTGTATTGATGGTTTAATAATGGATAACTCACAGATTACAGCTCCTAAACCATTAACAGCATTAATGAGCGCAGTCCCGTTAGATGTAATTGACCATGGAGAAACACGCACATTCTTATTCCAACAAACTGTTCCTGTGCAATCATATTTAATTGCCCTAGCTATTGGTAATCTAGTCAGTAAAACTTTAAGTCCTATATCAAAAGTTTGGTCTGAACCTGAAGAAATTGACAAAGCTGCATATGAATTTGAACAAGTATAGTATAATATTAACATTTGAATATTTGATTACTGTAAAAATTGTTCTAATAAAATCTCGTTAATATTTTTAGACACCTGAACTATTAAAAACTGCTGAAAATGTGTGCGGTCCATATGTTTGGAAAATTTATGACTTACTTGTTATGCCACCTTCATTTCCCTTTGGTGGTATGGAAAATCCGTGTTTGACTTTTGTCACTCCCACATTATTGGTGAGTTAGGTAATATGAAATATAGCTATAACCATTTAATGTATATATCAATTACTGCTATAGGCTGGAGATAGAAGTCTCGTAAATGTAGTGGCTCATGAAATAGCACATAGTTGGACTGGCAATTTGGTGACCAATCGCAATTTTGAACATTTTTGGATGAATGAAGGATTTACAGTTTATGTGGAACGCAGAATAAATGGGTTATTGAATGGCGAGAGTTCTAGAGAATTTGCTGCACTAGGTGGTCTTGAAGATCTCAAACAATCTGTAAATATTTACTAATACTTCTGTGATTACCTTGACTAAAAAATCATAATTACAATGACAATAAGTATTGCAGGTTGATAATTTAGGTGCGGAAAATCCTTTAACCAAGTTAGTAGTCGATTTAAGTGGTATTGATCCAGATGACGCATTTTCTACTTGTCCTTATGAAAAAGGTCACACATTCTTGTTCTACTTAGAAAAACTGTTAGGAGCTGGTAAGGTTGTTTGATTAAGAACTAACTGATCAGACTTCTCATTATTAAAAAATTATTTTACAGCTAAATTTCAAATATTTTTCAAATCTTATATTGATAAATTCAAGTATAAGTCTGTTGATACTGAAGATTTTAAATCATATTTGCTATCCTATTTCCAAGAAGACAGTGCCATCTCGAAAATTGATTGGGACTTATGGCTGTATACTTGTGGCATGCCTCCAATAATACCTTCGTAAGTAATTATCTAGTTAAATCGTTGATTATAAATACTATAGATTGCTCATTGGCCGGTTTTCCGAAGGCACAAAATATTTACTCCCAAAAGATGGCGAGGTAACGTTGCTACTAGCGATTACAACGTTACCTGACATTACTAACCACAAGTCTGCACCCATTAACACGGCCACCCCGTTTAGTCAGATTGGATAACGTTGTAATCGCTAGTAGTCACGTCGTCTCGCCATCTACCGGGAGTAAATATTTTGTGCCACCGAAAAACCCGCCAGTCAGCAATCTATAGAATTTATAATCAATGGTTAAATGTCTTTGGAAAGTGTAAATAATATATGATAATATATAATATTTTACTAATTAAAAGTTTAATATTTATATTATTTTTAAAGGTATGATACAAGTAATCAAGATGCATGCACCTCTTTGTTAAACCGCTGGGAACAGTGGAATGGTTCTGGTGACAATTTTAAGAAGTCTGACTTGGATACATTTCAAACAGCACAAGTTATACAATTCTTAGCATTGGTTTTAAAATCAAATAATTTTACTTTGTTCAAAATAAAAGCTATGCAAGAGGTTTATGATTACAACAGTAATGGAAACCGTGAAATTGTATTTAGGTAAGAACTAAAATAAAATATTTATTCAGTTATTGTCAATTTTATAAAAAATGTAGGTATAATATCTCTGTATGTTTTTATAAGGTGGCTTAGAACATGTGTGAAAGTCAAGTGGATCGAACAATTAGAACTCGTATTTAAATTTATCAACACCACTGGAAGAATGAAATATGTCCGTCCTATATATAGGTATCTATTTTCAAATTATATTTTGATATTACCAGTTTAAAAAAAGTTAATTTTTTTTGTATTCTACTTTTCTATTATTGTTTTTTTATTTTTTCAGGGACCTTTACTCTTGGGAAGAAGCACGGACAGAAACAATAAACAATTTTGAAAATAATAAAATGCGTATGATGTATGTTTGCCGTCATACTGTGGCTAAAGATCTACACTTAAGAGAATAATATCAATAATATCTGTGTTCAATTTTTTTTTTTTTTAATGTATTCAATTTTAAATTAATATCATGAAATTATTTTAATCAAAATAATAATAATCAAGATGTTTTATACATAAATATAAACTATTAAAATCTAACATTTAATGGAATGTATATATTAATATTTATAACTTCACTAATTATCTTTACACTGATATTTTATTTGCCTCCATTTACCAAAATAAAAATCCTTAATTGTGTATTTAATCCTTTCACTAATACAGATGTACTATCACGGCCAAAACATTTATACCATTCACTGCTCCAGATGTTCTATTACGTTCCTGTATTTTCTTATATTATCGTAATATCACTAATATTGTATGCTGGTAACTGTACAACTTTAAGAAAATATATCTGACATTATTTTAAACTTAGAAAAATTAAATATTTCATTTTATTTTATTTAATAAATAGGGAAATAGTGAAAGATTTAAAAATAAAACTAAACTAATGATAAAAGATAACCCATGTGAAGAACAAAGTTACACCAGAAAATACAAATATGGATGTAAAAATAATATTATCATCATAAAAATTATTGGCATACTAGGATTATTGGAATAACCAAAATAGGTCATATTATGGTCGCATTGGACATATTAGATAAAACACACACATGGCAACTATACAGAATGTAACAAGAAAATCTGATAAAAGAAATAGCTTTTGTTCTAATCAATATTTTAAACTATTTTTTTTTATTTATAATTTATAGTAATTTGGGCTAAATGTATAATAAAAAAAAAATATTACGTTTAAGTAGCATTATTTTCTTTTTTCGTATTTATATTATATTTTATCATTAAATACTAATATGTACTTAAGAGTAAGCAGAAATTCTATTGAATATAATAATGAATAGTTATATAAAATATGTTATGCTCAATTCATGAATCATCGTAATCAACAGAGAAATTGCCAATTTTGTGAAATTGGCACTTTTTGCTAACAACTTCATGGAATCTACAAAACAAGTTTGATGATTCCATAAATGTATAGGAAGACTTTTTTCTGTCAAATGCATGAATTTCGGAATACATTGACGAGTGTTAATCAAATAAGTAAAATAATAAAATGACGGAATAAATCTGAAAGTACCTTTAAAGATACAATGTTCACTATCACAATGTAGGTCCATAATTGACACAATAGTTATGGGAGTACTAAGATTCTTACAAAAAAAAAAAACTATTTGTACTCTGTAGAATACTAATACATTAATAAATATTAATAACTTTGATATTTGCCAACTTTTTATTGGTTTAAATTCATTACTAATACATACAACGCATCATTAATTGTATTTTATTGTGGTTGTTGTTTTAGTAGGCTACACAGATGATATTACTTATTTGGCATAAATTATGTCAGTTGTCTGTTAAATATTTTCTACCAGAAGTTTGTAGTAATTCTAATGTTTTAAAAATTATGGTCAAGAAATAAAAACAACAAAAATAGTAGACAACACACGTTCATACTAGTATGTACACTGTATACTATATAAACATATACATAATAAAACTATATAAGCACTTAAATATATATATATTATATACCGAACTGATAGATGTCAGTGATTCCAACAAATTACAACCCTACTAAATTTATAATTTAAGTTTCAACTCAAATACTAAAATAAAATAGGAGATTATGCTGGTTTCCTTTAAAAAAATAAGGGACTTATTGATGCACAGTGCAGTGTGTCAACAAAAACAACATTTTAGATAAAAAATAATTAATTTTTAATTTTTTTACTTTAATAAAATCAATTGAAATAAATATTTAAGTTATAAAATCAATATATTTTTAATTTAGATAATAATTACAAAAAAAGATTTAAAAGTAAAATAAATAAATTTAACACCATACTATTCTATATAAAATGTTTTATTTTAATTATGAAATTTATTAAAAATATGTTCACAATTAACAATAAGGAAGTATGTATATACAAGAAGCTGGATTAATGTGAATATAGTTTACTATTTTCTTTTTTTCATAAAACGCTGCTTGGTAAATTATATTAAACAATTGTTGGATCAATTATGAAGATTGGATATCATTATTAACAGCAAATTATTTTGTTTTATATTTGCTTGGAAAAAAATAATGGTATAAACAAAAATAAGTATGTTGACAGTAAATTCGTGTTAAATAGTATCTATGTAATAACGTAATAGCAAATTAACTGATCATTTATAAATTTAAAAATATTTTTCTTATCATGTTTACCATCAAATATTTTGATGTCACTTAAACATTTTTTTATGAAGCCCAGTTAGCTAATTCTTTCATTTCGTCATCATCTTCTTCAGCTTTTGTTTTAGCTAAAAATTTAAAACAACTCGTTAATATCTATAACTATAAACATATATGACTTTTTTCACTAAAAATACCTTTGCCTCGGCCACTGGGCTCAAATGTTGGCACTGCAGGCGTTGGCAAATCGTTGACAGGTGTCTTGCCTGTATTCAACAACTCTTTGTCCAATTCTTCTTGTTCTAGCTCTTCCAATTCCTTTTGTAATTCATCCTGTTAAAAAATTATAACACATGATAATTTGTTCATGTAACTATAATACTAGATAGAATTAGACATTTTAGGGATTAAATAATCATTGCCATATGTTTCAAAATGTGCTCAAAAAAGAATTTGGTCGAATTGTTCATATCACATTCCAATAGGATCCCAAAGTGACCAAGATAACCAAATAATATACATACCATTAAAAAAAATAAACAATAAATCTAGATGTTTAGTCATTGAATGATTTCTAACAGTCTTTTTTACCCAACAAAAAACCACAGTTGGAAAATGGAAAACCATAATGATTTATTTATAGACAATAATATAATATGTTCTAAAATATGAAAAATAGGATAAATATTCTCTAATAAAATTTTTTCCACAAATTCTATTATCAACAAATTGTTAACATTTTGAATCCTGCTGAGCTGCATAAACCCAATAAGTATATGTGAATACCTAAAAAACTGCTCTCTAGTAACTCGTTTGTAAATAATTTAAAATTCTTGTCACATAATAATTCAGTACAAATTCTGTGTATAAGCAATAGAAATTAATAAATACTAAATGCTTAACCAATGACAATATTTAAAATTGATTTATGATTTAGTAGGGGACTTTTTATCTTGCTTGCTAAGCTCTAATTATTAATAATATAAACGTATAGTGTTAAAAATGATTCAATATTGACATTACATTTTTAAAAATAAATTATTATTCTTACTTCGTCTACATCAGTTCCAAATGCAACTGGATTTGAAATAGCTTCTGATATTTCTTTGGATAAATCTTGTGACTCTGCTATATCATCCATCATATTGTGAACATCATCAACATTCCTATAACAAGATCAGTAATTTTAATAAACAATTTTCAAACCGTATTGAAACTATATTAGAAAACTTTTCCAACATAGGTATTTCATCATTTCTTAATGCTAAATATTTTTGGTAGTAGTTCAAAATAAACCGGTAATATTCCAATTGCAATAGGTATATTGTGTATTACATTTTATTGCATATTATAAAATTGTGTATTAATTAATGATTATTGCAAACAATAAATAATCATTACCTGTAAAGTTCATTTCGGTATTTGTTTTTTTATTTAAAGTTAACTGACAGACTATCTTCGAATTAGTATCAATTAGGTGATATATAAATATTATTCATATTTTATGATTATTCAAATAATAAAATAAATATTACATTTTTTTCCTACAAATTTAATAATAAGAGCACTTTTGTTTCTATAATTTGTGTAGTTTTAATTTTTAGTTTACACGTACATGTTTTAAATTGCATATTTGGGAGTTTTTAAGGATATATATCAGATCCCAACTAATTAGTTAAATAACGAAAAATATTTTACAATAAATAAATATCATTAATACGAAGAATGATTTGTAAGTATAAACCTATATTAATTATGTGATAAGATTTTAAATCTGTATGTATAAAAAATAAAATATAGATAAGGTAAAATTAAATATAATAAATATACCTATAATGAATAGAAAATAATAATAGTTGTATAATGTAATGTTTAGGTACTGCCTAAGATTGTTTTAATTTTTTTCTTTTTTTTTTTAATATATTTATTTTATAGTTAGGTATGTAATGAAAAATATGATTTAATGTTAAATAATTATAATGGCAAGAAGTTCAAAAAACTCTAATGTATCCTAAATAATGACTGGAAAATTAAATTACTAGTTACCAGTGACTAAGCAAATTTTTATAAATGAAAATATTATGACTCATTCATACTCATAATTGTTATCAAGATATTAAATAAAATATAATTCAGTAATAGAAGAATAGAATAATAAAAATTAATGTCAACATTAATCGATACATTGTTATAATTTATGATTGTCTGTTTTATATTAGATTCTTATAAAAATAATATTGAAATTATTGAAGTTTAGTTTTGTTAATTGGTAAGTTAAGTTAATTTAATTTGCTCAATAACTTCTTTACTCTAAGGTACATAGATAAACTGATAATAAACATGCAACTTGTTTGTTATTTAAGAACCTATAACGCTTATAACACATTCAGTGGCATGGTGACAAAATTTCAAACCCTATCCAGAAATAGTAAAAAATTAGCATAGAATATCATATTATAGATAACACATTTCCAAAGGTGGCACAATTGGATCAAGTAAACACCGGTTACTACGCCACTGAACACATTCAGTAAAGTATCAAAATAATATACAAAGGAATATGTTTACAACATACAATATTGGAAACATAATTTCTAAAACTAGCAGGAGGAGGAGTCGATTAAATTCATAAATTGTTAATGACTTTTATATTTAAAATAAGCTACCTAATATTGAATTTAAGAAACAACCTTAAGCGATTTGTGAATAGTGATAGAAACTATATAAATGTATACACTACATACATTTATATATTATTATAATAATAGGTACCTAAAAGGAATATGATAATTTCAGGATTCTATACAATTTACTTAAATAATTAAATACCTCAGTTTAACCTGATCGATATAGATCAATAACAATTAAACTTACATATTTTGATGAGCTGATTTAAGTGCATCCGCTGCTGTTTTCATCGTAGTTAATACTGCTGTATTTGTGTTAGCACCTTCTAATGCCTCTCGCTGTTGTTCAATAGTTAACATGGTACCATCAATTTGCGCTAGTTGTTGTTCGTACCGTTTCTTACGTTTCAATGCTTGCAATGCAGCTGAAAACCAAAAACAAAAATTTACAATACAACTAAAAAATAATGTGTTAAGTCATAACGTCAACTTACCTCGTTTATTAGTTGTACCATTTTTTTTTGCTATCGCTACTTCTTGTTCAATTTTTTTTTCTAAAAATTCTTGTTTCTTTATCAGCATCTCTTCTGTGGATCGTAGCTTTTGTATCGCATCTTCAGTTGATGGTCCTTTCTCTTCCTTTTTGCTACCGAAAATCTTACCCAGGAAACTCATAGTGTACAATATATTATTTATAGTTACTTTATTAACCTATTTATGCAATCAACATAATCATTCAAAGATACAGTACACAAATTACAACTACTCAATAGTCAATAATCAACAGTCACAAAACACCAACGATAAGTCGCACTAAATTTGCGTAGAAGGCAAAAGCGAAGAACTAAAGAAATTTCGAAAGATAATGATAAAAGATTTTTATTGTTGTCATTAGTAGTCATCTGTTATTCTGTTAAAATCATTCCAAAAGCCAAAATGATTGACGATGAAAACACCGTAATTGATAACCTATAACCAAAGACGCTATAACAACATTTCAAAGAGTATACAAAAATAATTCAATAATCTAATAGGTAGGAAATTATTAAACAGTTATTATAATAATATATTATATGTTTTCTGCAAATAAAACTACCAAATTTGTACATAAACAAACGAAATTTTTTTTTAAATTAATGGAATCGCCAAATTATCGGATATTTGTTTAACTTTCTCAATTATTGGGGTGGGTGGGACTCAGTGGGAGTGGACTGACCGACTACCATAACCACGGTGTAAAATAGTCTATAAAGGCGGGTTCACACTACACCGTGTCGTGTAATATAATCACGGTGTAGTGTGAACCCCCCTTAAGGGCTCTACCAAGGTGTATTGTTCTATGGTATCAATCATAGACTTTAATACTTTATTGTTCTATGCTTATACTAGCCACTAGGAAATACAAGGAAAGGCATCACTGCTGGCACGCTAGGAAAGACCGCACCACCGAATGTATGAGTATAAGGTTTATGGTATCAATACACTTTGGGCTCTACCTAATAATATAATGGCCAATGGGTATGCTATGCCGAATCCCGGACGAAAAGTCCGGAATGAAAAAAGTTGGACTAAAAGTCCGTATTCATTTTTTGATTGCCGGACAAAAAATCCGAGTACATTTTTACTGTCGGACAAAAAGTCCGAAAATACAAAATTATCTATAAAATTTATTATTATAATATACCTAATACTATACTATATAATATGTATTATAGACTTATACATATAATATTATATTATATAGTCAGTTCATATATACTCTTATAATTAATATTTATTTAAAAATGTAATTGTTGTACTTTTATTATATTATTGTATTTTTTTTTATATTTTATTACTTCTTATTAAATTCTAATTGGTAGGTATGGATGTAGCTATCTAATGTGTATCGTGGCAGTATGTCCACAGTTTATCTAAACTTATAGAAAAGTCAGGGTTTCAAAATTCAGGCGGATTAAGCCATTGTACCCCCCTGAAACATGGAACGTACACGAGGCTACATTGCACTCCAGACACCGTACAAATAATATTTGTGAAAGCTGGAACAATAGATTTGCGCATTTAATCGGGCATAGTCATCCAACAATTGGGAAGTTGATTAATAAATTTCGTGAGGAAGTGGGAGTGGATAAAGCTAAAATAACATAACATGATATGGAACCCGTAAGAAAAAAAAACAAGGATCAGAAAAAAATGTAAAATTACAATATTTATGTAAGAAGTTTGTTAATAACGAGTTAACAGTACCAGAATTTTTAAATAGGATGGGTCATTGCTTAAGAAAACGGAATGTAGAATAAATTATTATTGTAGACTAGATTTTTTTTTTATTTTGTAAGAATGCTGTAGGTAAGTATAATAAAAATCCCAGAAAAGAAGTCGTATGATTGGACAATTAATTAACAATAATATTGTTCATCGCCCCCCACCATAATATGGTCTTAACTTAAAGGTCTTAAACTTAACTATGTCAATATTACATGATTTATTTTATATCTATAAGATCATACAATAGCTTTATTTATATTTAAAAATTCAGTAAAAATGATAAAATATTGATATTTTTTAAATGTATTATTAAAATAATGTAAATTGATTCATTTTCACTTGAATAGTAGGTAAGTCAGTATAACCGACGTTGTATTTATAAACAATATATTATGTACTACATTTTATTATTTAATGATATACTTAGGTACTTGTTTACAATGAAATTTATTTTTTCAACAAAATGTTGATTTTTTTTTTAATTTAATTTAATATTATAATAGTGGGCACGAGGCATTGTAATATTTACCTTTTTACTTAATGCATTTAAAATTTTTAAAAATACCAACGTAGGAATGCATTCAATTTTACGAATTTAACGAAAACACAGTTGGTCAACACTTAACTCACACGAGCATGGTCAGTGAGGAACACTTTTCTATTGAAATAAATAAAACAAAGTATATTTCTTAACACGAAAAAAAACACAATATCAACATAAAAATGTAACTTTATTACAAATTTTATAATAATATATAAACAGTTTTTTTAATTTAACAGTTTTTTGAAAATGTGGTGTGTTTATAAGTTGTACACAATCAAAACTGAGAAAAAAATTTATAGATTTTTTTTTTTTATTTTGTAAGATTGCTGTATTATTTGTGAAATATACTAAGAAACAACTAATAAGTATAGTGGAAATCGGTTATAACTAGTTTTAAGGGCCAGCTAGTTTTTCTAGTTGTAAACACTAAACAGTATCTACTCCTAACCAATGTTCACTATACTGTTTTCTACGAAGTTTCATCAACCGTTACCAGGGTGCATTGCGAGGAAGCGTATACGGGGCGCACCCCATATATGGTCTAGCTGATTGGAAATCAGAATGGGGAAAATCTAATCCGGACTCCCACAATATAATACAATCACTAGGAAACCCGTTAGGTACCAGGACATCAACTACCTCGACGAGAATGGGTCGTGTTAAATCGACTTCGCACTGGACATGGGCGCTGTAAAGACTAAAGAGCTGCTCCACAAATGGAAAATGGCAGACCTCCCAGATTGCGACTGTGGGCATCCCTCTCAGACCATCCATCATATAATAAAAGACTGTACCCTCCGCGCATTTAAAGGATCAATGCGGGAACTTCACCACGCTACGGATGAAGCTATTAATTGGATCAAAGCCCTCGACATTATACTTTAAAGAAGAACATACCACTATATTTTATCAATTCAGTTACCAAAAACCATTCATGTTATTTATTTATTTTTATTTTTATTTATTTGTTTATTTTTAATATTACTAATTTTATTTGCTTGCTTGTACAGTTGTACTTATATACCATACGATACTAATAATAATAATAATCACAAATTCAAAACCAAAACGTGTATTATCTACTATCTAGTACCAAAGCTACCAATGTATTACCACACGGCGAAAAGTATTAATGAAAAAATTACGATGATTACTTCCTTAGTTATATATTTAGAAATATATTTTTGTCGTACCGATAATAAAATAAAAATTAATCGAATTCAATTTTATGAAGGTACTTAGGTACTAAAAATAATGATATAATAAACTGAAAATCAAAAAAATTCACTAAAATCAAAAAACATCTATACACATTTTATTAAAAGCATTAAAAATATTTACATGTTTGCCATGTTCTAACTCAAGTGGTGAACGATCATTCTCTGTTCTTAAAAGAGTTAAAACATACCTTCGATTATCATTATCAAGTGAAAAAAAGGTGGGTAAGTGGATGTCGCTCTGCTGTACAGTAGGTTACAAGTGGGTCACTGTATAATGGATGCTATTAAATTTGAATTCAATGATACAATATCATTGTATAAGAAAAACGATTCTGAGCGAAGACGGTATGTCAGTCTAGGTTTAAGACAAATTATATACATATCTATCTTAAAACAAAAATTGACCTATAATAAATTCCAAATTAATCATATCACATTATCACAATATCCATTAGGTACTTATAACACGTAATACATCAACATCAATAACAAACCCTGATACTATCATAGATATATAATATTACACTTTAGAAGTTTCAAGTAGGTACCCACGGGCCACGAATAATGTTATATAATCACAACAAAATAACTAGGTTTTTTAATATGTAATTTCGTCCAAATTTGAACATAAAATGACTATAAAAATAAACTGTGATTGTATATTTTTTAGATTTTTCGGTAAGAGAATTAACTACTTACGAGGAATCTTTTTTTAAATTTTCAATCCTTAGCTATAAAAACTGAACATTTTATAATTTATTAATTACGATGATTAATAATTTTCGAGATTTTGAAAAATTCTGTCAAAATTCGATGTATAAATGCTTATGAAAAAAAATTGTGCCAATGTATTTTTAATATTTTTCAACTGATATTGTAACAATATATCAGGAGCCTTGTATTAAATTTTTACACTTTTTGGCCCAACAGATAAAACTTTATTGATATTTATAGAAAAAAAAAACTAAAAAAATTGAAAACTGAAAATGTCCGTAAACAGCTCAAAAAGAGTCAAAATATTTTCAAAATTGTATGGTGTATAGGAAATGCTAATATAAACATTCAGTGAAATTTTCATGTATCTATAGTTATTCGTTTATGAATTACAACAAAATAAGGAAATCGCTACATGAGAAATCGAGTGAATATCCAATGTTGTAAAAATATGAATTTCAAACGCTCATAAAAATTTAATTTGACTGTCCGGTAGAGATTTTTTTATTGATAAATGTAGACAAACTTATGAGTAATCTTGTATTACATTTTCAAATCTTAGATTTAAAAAGAAAAATTTTTACGAATTCTTAACTCAAACCAACAAATAAAATTTTATTGATATTTTTAGAAAAAAAACTAAAAAAAAATGGAAAATGAAAATGTCCTTAAACAGTTCAAAATAAATCAAAATATTTTGAAAATGTTATCGTGTATAGAAAATGCAAATATAAACAACCAGTGAAAATTTCATGTATATACGTTCATTTCTTTTAGAGTTACACCAAAAACCAAAATCGATTTTTTGGAAAACCGTTTTTGCGTAAAAATTCCCGTTTTTCCTTAATTTTTATGTTGTTTTTTCCCGGCGCTTGTGAAAAATACTGGGAAATTTTTACTTTTGACCCCCCAAAGTACCAACTAGATTCACTTTCCTATCAGAAAAGCTACTGTTGAAGAAAATCCAAGCACTTTACTGTCCTAAAACGTGATGACAGATTGTTGTACTATTATTGTATTTTTTTTTTTTATATTTTATTACTTCTTATTAAATTCTAATTGGTAGGTATGGATGTAGCTATGGCTATATCTATCTAATGTGTATTGTGACAGTATGTCTACAGTTTATCTAAACTTATAGAAAAGTCGGGGTTTCAAAATTCAGACGAATTAAGCCATTGTCCCATCCTGAAACATGGAACGTACACGAGGCTACATTGCACTCCAGACACCGTACAAATAATATTTGTGAAAGCTGGAACAATAGATTTGCGCATTTAATCGGGCATAGTCATCCAACAATTTGGAAGTTGATTAATAAATTTCGTGAGGAAGTGGGGGTGGATAAAGGTAAAATAACATTACATGATATGGAACCCGTAAGAAAAAAAACAAGGATCAGAAAAAAATGTAAAATTACAATATTTATGTAAGAAGTTTGATAATAACGAGTTAACAATACCAGAATTTTTAAATAGGATTGGTCATTGCTTAAGAAAACGGAATGTAGAATAAATTATTATTGTAGACTAGATTTATTTTTTTTATTTTGTAAGATTGCTGTAGCCTGTAGGTAAGTATAATAAAAATCCCAGAAAAGAAGTCGTATGATTGTATGATTGGACTATCCCATTTTACATCTTACCCGGGTTTCTCCTATATAATATTGTATATTGTGACATTGTGTCGGTAATCGCAGAAATAGTAAGTAACAAAATATAAAAAAAATGTTAATGGACAATTTTGGTTTGATATCGTTTATTGGGTATTATTGGGTATTACTGGGTATTATTGGGTTTATTGGGTATCGTGTATTCGGTAATCGCGTCGGGTTTTTTTAATGGTTATGTTTTCATTATTATGGACCGTGATCACCTCGTATAGCCCTGACCAATTCAGACATAAAGGGTTTTTTTTATGTCGTTCCTTAATTAAAACTTTATCACCTACGTGTACGTTTACCGGGTTCATAGTTTTATTGTAATTCCGTTTATTCGATTCTTTTTTGCTAATTAAATTATTTCGTGCGATTTCGTGTGCTTGTTGCATATTACGTTTCAGGTCGAAAACATAATGGTCATAATCATAAACCTATAGTATTTATCGTAATAATTTCCGAGAACGTCGGGATTTACAAATAATCGGAACTCAATTATTACGCTTAAGTGAATGTATGTATGTATGTATGTATGTATTGTTATTTCAATAAAGTCTTATATATATTTTTATTATTTTTATTGAAACGTATTACTGATAATTATTACTTGTGTACTTGATCGCTCATTTTACTGTATAAAAGACGTCTGATTCGCGATATTCGGGCATCAGTATACGCCCGCCGACTAGTTGAACAATGTGTTTTTTATTTCCAAAGCTAAATATCGTGTGTCCAGTGTAATTTAGTGTAATATATTTGTGCAATATAATATAAAGTACTATGTATAAAATGAAAACGAATATTTTTATTTTAATTGCATGTTTAAGCGTTTGTCAAGCTGGTTCGTTTTGGGATGGCGTGTTTACCGCGATAGACACGATAAATCCGGTCAGAATAGTGGAACGTACTATTGAAGACGACGGGAAAACTCTCAACAATGTATTGGATACAATAAATCCAGTTCGTATAGTACAACGTACTATTGACGATAAAGCTGAAACACTCGGACGTGTTTCTTTAAGTATTGGCGAATCGATACCATTAGCTGGTCATGTAATAGCCGGAGTACAAAAAATTAGAGGCGATGATGATGCGGCAAAACGCGCTTTTTACAGAGCGAACAGCGTTTCTGCGGCTATTGCCGGCGGTGCTGTTGGCACTTTATGTGGCCCGGCTGCAGCGGCATGTGTACCAGCACTCTCTATGGTCTCTCAAACTGCGATGGACGGCTTAAATTCGCATATTGAAGACGGAAATGTTGAATATTTAACAAATTTAGCTTAAGAAAACGGAATGTAGAATAAATTATTATTGTAGACTAGATTTTTTTTTTTTTATTTTGTAAGATTGCTGTAGGTAAGTATAATAAAAATCCCAGAAGAGAAGTCGTATGATTGTATGATTGGACTATCCCATTTTACATCTTACCCGGGTTCCTCCTATATAATATTGTATATTGTATAGGATAATATAGGTAATGTAATACTTTTTTATTAAATCACTGCCAGTGTAAATCGGTTTCTATTGTCAAAAATTACAAATACTTAGGTATCGAAATGTGTCATGATATGAAATGGAAAAAACAAATTATTAATACTACCAATAAGTTGAGAAAGATGATTTTCATCATGAAATCTCTACGTGAAGTACTAGATTGTAAAGACATAAAACTTATATACTTAACTCTCTTTGAACCTATAATCGCATATGGCATAATTGGTTGGGGTAGCGCCTATGATAATGTGCTATCACGACTTCAAAAATGCCAAAATACTATTATTAAAGTGGCTTGTAACAAAAAATGGAGATATCCTACAAAACAATTATATGAAGAATTTAATGTACTTAATATAAATAAGCTATATATAAAAACCTGTACCATTTTCCTAAAAAAACATAACATGTTATCCCCTGTAAATCACAAAGTTAACACTAGATATGCTACTAATAATTATTCGCTAAAATTTTCAAAAAAAGCTGGATGTCGTAAAGTGTATGATTTTGTTGGGACACATATACATAATATAATGCCCAAAGAAGTGGCTGATATGTCTCTTTCTATTTTCAAAAAATACATTACCCATTGGCTTCACCATGAATACGATGCTACAATATTGAAGTTTCAGGATTAATTTGTTTTTTTTTTTTTTACACTACCATTGTCTGCCTTTTTTTTAATTTTTTTTCTTTGCACATAAAACTTTTTTTTATATTATCTGTTCAAACATATATTACTGTTCTTGTGTTATTTTTTGTTTTTTACCATGTATTTGAGTAGCTATTTAAGGAGAAAATGATAAATGTAAATTTGTTGTATATAAGATATCTCCTAGGCCTCCACACGAGTTTTACTCAGTGAGGCCTAGTAATCTTTACCGATATTAAATAAAATCAAATAAAAAATAAAATATTGTGACATTGTGTCGGTCAAATATTATTTATGTATCAGTGAAATAATAAGTAATAAAATATTAAAAAAATGTTAATAGACAATTTTGTATTTTTGGACTTTTTGTCCGACAGTAAAAATGTACTCGGACTTTTTGTCCGGCAATCAAAAAATGAATCCGGACTTTTTGTCCAACTTCTTTCATACTGGACTTTTTGACCGATTACCTGCTATGCCACCATTTTGAGACTCATTTATCAATGATAAAATAAAGGGGTAAAATTCATATTTACATAACATTATTAGTCTCAAAATAGCGGCGTAGCATACCTAGCATCTATAGTGACCTACCATAACGTTTTGTACTTAAATTGTTGACTGTTTTAACGGATATCTCGTGGTGGTTGCCAGTTGGACACTTGGGCCTAGGCCTATGTATTTTTGTAACGTATTTATTGTTACTATATAATAAATATGTACTATAATTAACCTCAGCGGTGGTCAGTATTATTTTGTGTACAACATCTGAAATATATACCTTAAGCTTCATTGTGACAGAAGATTTTAGATTCTGAGTGAAACGATGAATGTATTGATTTTACAATGATGTGTGTTTTTTTATTTTTTTTTATGTCTGTCATCACGTTTTAGGACAGTAAAAGTGCTTGAATTTTCATCAACAGTAGCTTTTCTGATACAAGTAGGTATACAATATTATACATGTATATTGTATACTTACTGAATTCTGACATTAGAAGTTGGAACACTGAACATTGTGTCAAAAAAATAAATAAATTGTGTTTTTATTTGTGTTAAAAAAAATTTCAATGTTTCACGTTTTTGTGAAATATTTCATGAAATATTTCTCATACTTCAAACACTACCCATAAGGCTTGTTCTATTCCCCAGTGTTCAAATAGGTAGGAAATTAATACAATTAATTGCATTTATTTTGTTGTAATAAAAAAAAAAAACGAATAACTGTATATATAAACACCCCCGCCGGAGTTGACTCGATCGCGTACCTATAAATAGTAATAATATTATAATAATACTAAATGCTGTGAGATCCAACTCAATAATACCTGCAGATAGCCTGAACTCGACCCCACAGACGTAGCAGATATAGAAAATATTATATAGATGGGTAAAAGTAAAATTAAATTAAGTGCACTTAATGTATGCTCTATTTTAGATTCTGAGTGGAACGATGAATGTATTGATTTTACAATGATGTGTGTTTTTTTTTTAATTTTTTTATTTTTTTATTTATTTTTTTTGTGTCTGTGTACACGATAAGTAGTCGAAATAATGCTTCGATTTTCGACTTCAGTATCTTGTTAGATTGGAAAGTGAATATCGTTGGTGCATTGGGAGGTCAAAATTTAAATTTCCCAGTAGTTTTCAAGAGCGCCGGGAAAAACAAAAGAAAAATTAAGGAATAACGGGAATTTTTACGCAAAATCGATTATTCAGAAAATTGAATTTGGTTTTTGGTGTAACTTTAAAACAAATGACCGTAGGTACATGCAATTTTCACTGGTTGTTTATATTTGCATCTTCTATACACGATAACATTTTCAAAATATTTTGATTTATTTTGAACAGTTTAGGGACATTTTCATTTTTAGTTTTTTTTTAGTTTTTTTTCTAGAAATATCAATAAAATTTTATTTGTTGGTTGCGAAAGCTTGAAAATTTAATAGAAGGATCCTAATATATTGTTTCAAAGGCAGATGAAAAATATTAAAAATCCTTAGTCACAATTTTTTTTTATAAGCTGGAAAAATCACGAAAATTAGCAAATTATTTTGAGTTAAGAATTCGTAAAAATTTTTCTTTTTAAATCTAAGATTTGAAAATCTAATACAAGATTACTCATAAGATTGTCTACCTTTATCAATAAAAAAATCTCTACCGGAAAGTCAAATTAAATTTTTATGAGCGTTTGAAATTCAAATTTTTACAACATTGGATATTCACTCGATTTCTCATGTAGCGATTTCCTTATTTTGTTGTAATTCATAAACGAATAACTATAGATACATGAAAATTTCACTGAATGTTTATATTAGCATTTCCTATACACCATACAATTTTGAAAATATTTTAACTCTTTTTGAGCCGTTTACGGACATTTTCATTTTTCAATTTTTTTAGTTTTTTTTTTCTATAAATATCAATTCAATTTTATCTGTTGGGCCAAAAAGTGTAAAAATTTAATACAAGGCTCCTGATATATTGTTACAATATCAGTTGAAAACTATTAAAAATACATAGGCAAAATTTTTTTTTATAAGCATTTTAACATCGAATTTTGACAGAATTTTTCAAAATCTCGAAAATTATTAATCATCGTAATCATCGTACATTCAGTTTTTATAGCTAAGGATTGAAAATTTAAAACAAGATTCCACGTAAGTAGTTAATTCTCTTACCGAAAAATCTAAAAAAATATACAATCACAGTTTATTTTTATAGTCATTTTATGTTCAAATTTGGACGAAATTACATATTAAAAAAAAACTTAGTTATTTTGTTGTAACTAATATTATTCGTTGGTACCTACTTGAAACTTCTAAAGTGTACTATTATAGTATTATATATCTATGATAGTATCAGGGTTTGTTATTGATGTTGAATTGTTGATGTATAACGTGTTATAACTTATAAGTACCTAATGGTATTGTGATAATGTGATATGATTAATTTGGAAATTATTATTTATTATTTCAATTTTTTTTTAATACCATAGATATGTATATAATTTGTCTTAAACTTAGACTGACATACCGTCTTCGCTCAGAATCGTTTTTCTTATAGGTACAATGATATTGTATCATTGAATTCAAATTTAATAGCATCCATTATACAGTGACCCACTTGTAACCTACTGTACAGCAGAGCGACATCCACTTACCCACCTTTTTTTATTTATAATCATTGAATTTTATTTTTTATAAATTATTTGAATATTGTAATGTATATACATTATATGATATACCGGACTTTTTACTCTCGATTTTATTGGCTTATAACTTATCAACTTTAAAAGTAATTGAAACAAACAAGACTGTTGAAAATGGTTACTCAATTTTGTTGATAGTTTAAGTTTTTTAAAGTTGAGTTTAAAAATGTATAAAGCATTTTATATAATTATTGCTATATTTTGTGATTATTTATAATGTTGTATGTAATTTCATTTTAAAAGTAATTGAAACAAACAAGACTGTTGAAAAAGTTTATTCAAATTTGTTGATAGTTTAAGTTTTTTAAAGTTAAGTTTAAAAATGTATACTGCGTTTTTTAATTTTTTTTTACTTAAAACTATTTTTTACAGCCTCGAAATTTAAAATTACGTATGGGTAGGTACTTATATGTTTTCATTATTTTTGATAGCTGTAACCCCAACACTATTATTAAGTATATTTGCTAATGTTAAAAAAAAGGTGGTTCAATTATTTACTTGGTTATCATTTACAATTTTTCGACTTATAGTTTCAGTCTTGTTGGTCTGACCGTAAGTGATGTAAGCACAGCCCTGTCTGTCCGATTGCAGTCCCTCAGTATTTAACAAATAATCGATATTATTGTATCCGGGAATCATAAGGAAAAATGATGAATTTCATTAAATTATTTATTTTATTTTACCCAATAATGTATTTTAATATTCGTGAGTAACGCTTATTATATTGGTTATAGGCTTCAGCATGACGTCTATACACAAGATTAGAAGCCATTTCATGATTGGTAACACACCCAGACACCCTATTTACTTTTGTATAATTGTATAATGTATATTATATTATTGTATATGGATGATAGATGTATAATATTATTTCTTTAATTTTTATTAAAAATTATTATTTCTTAGAGTCCTTTCTGTTTTTATATT